TAAATGTTTTAGTTATATGAGATCAATAGCTTCTAGAGGTCTATTGTACAACCTAGTGCCTGCAGTGGAAAATAGCATATTGTGCATTTCAAAAGTTTTAAGAGTGTTAATATCATGTTAGTATTTTTACCACACAGACACAAGGAAAAGATTCTGACAAAAAGTTTGAGAGGTGTTGGATATGTCTATTTTCTTCATTGTAGTAACAGTATTGTGGTGGATTGCATGTTTAAAGGTGAGAGGAGTATTTTTAAAATCACAGTGCTTTTGAAGAATGGAGTCTTCCCTCTCATGTATATTCCACAATACTCAATGTGCTTACATAAATCTATATGAATTTATCTAACAAAATCTTAATAAATGTCATCTATTATTGACATTAAAATTCATATTTTAAAAATCTCTCTGATGTTTGGAATAGTATTTACTTTTTTCCTTTTTTTTTAGTATTGGCACTTGAACTCAGGGCCTTCACCTTAAGCCACTCCACTAGCCCTTTTTTATGAAGGGTGTTTTCCAGATAGGGTCTCAAGAACTATTTACCTGGGCTGTCTTCAATCAGCAATCCTCTTGATCTCTGCCTCCTAAATAGCTAAAATTCTATGTAAGAGCCACTGGCACCCAGAATAAAATAGTATTTAATTTATAGCATGCATACTAACTAGACATTTCACTTATGTAGTCTTCAATACTAAACACATTTTTTAACCATTTTTTAAAATTACCTTCCCTTCAATTCGATTCACAACTACTCAGAGCACATTATCATGCTGTTCTATTACTGCTTCCCAATTTCTCACTTAATACTTATGACCTAGATTATAGAAAATTGATAGCATAGAGATGCACAGTGTACAAATTACTATGTAGGGCAAATCTTGAGTAAAAGACAATGTATAAGGTCCATCTTTGCTTCAGAAAAGTCCTAACCCGGTCCAAGAATAACGAACTTAGCATCTTATGTAAACATCCTTCTTCTATCTGTTATATGAAAAGTATAATACTATTTAGAAGAATAAGCTGTGTAGAATTTCAATTATCATAGAAATTCTAGTATGATAATATGCAAATGAGATTTTCAAAAAGTTAGGTAAAAACAAAACAAGTTGCAAAGATGGATTAATACAAAAAACATAATAGGAGTATTGTTTGTTCTCATACTTTTCATTTTGTTTTTGTTACATATTTGCAACTTGTCATATAAGAATTTTACAATACCATCAATAGGTGGGTTTACTATGAATTTGTTTTCTTAATGGATTTTCAAGAGAAAATCATTATAAATTCAATGAAGGTCTTAATTTTAACCACAATTGTACAGTAAAAATATTTCAGAAATATCACAGTTCTGAAATATTAATGTTAAGTATTTAAATAATATAATATTAAATATATATATGCCTGTATGCGGTTTCACCCGTATTAGTATTTCACTTTATCTAATAAAGATCTACTAACTTTATTTTTTTTAATTTGATTTGGATAAGTACTTTTAAGATGAGATATATACTATTAGCAAAAATTTAATTTCTAATAAAATACTTCTGTACAATGTTGTACAGCTCTGTAAAACTTTGTCATCTGACCTTACTGCAATTTTATGCCCATAAATACTGCCTAAATTCCACTTCCTTTAGTCTCTGGCAAGGACTATTCCATTCTTTGTTTCAATGACTTTGACTCTTTAAGATGGTTTACATTAAGTAGAATCATGTACTACTTGCCTTTCTGTGAGTGGTTCGGTTACCATAACACCCTCAAGGTTCATCTATGTCCTATATTACAGAATTTGCATTTTTAATGTTAAATAGTTTTCTGCTATGCTTTTGTACCAAATTTTCTTTTTCTATTGATTATTGATTGGTACTTAGTTTGTTTCTACATCACGGCTATAGTTAAAGTGCTGCGATGAACATGAAAGTACTAATATCCCTTAAATACAAAGCGGGATTGCTGAATCTAGTTTTAAATTTATTGAAAAATCTTAATATTGTTTTCAGTAAAAGATACACAATTTTTCTTTCCTACTAAAAATGTAAAAGGATGTCCACATCTATACACTCTTCTCAACATTTGTTTTGTATTTTTTCAATAATAGCCATCCTGACAGCTTGAACTGTATCTCCTTGGGTTTTCAGACACATTTTCTTCATGATGGGTGACATTGAGCATTTCTCCCATATTCTGTTTGAGCAGTGCATATCTTCTTCAGAGAAATGTGCACTCCTGTTTGTGGTCAACATTTTTAAAACTTGGGATAATCAGGGGTTTTATTTGCTTGTATTTTGCTATCAAACTGAAAGAGTTCCATGTACAGTTCACTGAAAAGAAACAATCAACAGAGTGAAAATGCAACCTATGGTATTGGGAAAAATATTTGCAAACCATATACTTACATTATTCATGACTTCGAATGACCCTTTAAAATACACAGGATTTCAAAAAAGAAGTCATAATCATTACATGATAAGATACCCACTGAAGCAATAAAGAATACTGTTTGTTAAAACTATTTGTTCCAGTGCAAATAAACACACACATATTCACGCATGCAGATACAAACACACACACACACACACACACACACACACACACAAAACCTCCACCTTTCAATGTAGATGTACCTGGAAGGACACATATCCTAATAGCAAATCTGTGAGAAAGCACTCTGAAGCCTGCAGAAGTGATGCAAAGGCTGCCTTGCCAGAAGTGTACATTGCTATAGAAAGGAGAGGAATTTCCCCATCTATCATTTTCTTCAGTTTGTTTTCATAATTTTAAATTACTCCTTCTCAAAGAATAATCAAGTTTTTTTTGTCAGTTGTTCAAGGTTATGTTAGAGAAGGCTGGTATGCACCCCAATTTTTCACCCTAAATGTACAATGTTGTATTTAACAGATAGGATAAAGGACTTTACAAATAATTGTAAATTATACTATATTTGCATGGTACTTAACTTAGACCTTTCACAAAAATAAAGTATTGCATTTTGATTAGAACTTACCTCATTCAAGCCATTTTATGAATTGTAAAATAGTAGTAAAAGCCATTTTAAGAATAGCCATATTGTGAGAGTCAGTATAATCATTTTAGGGAAATACGAGTTTGTATTAGGCAGATTTTTATTTGAATATTAATGAAAAACTCTTTATGTTAAGGCTATGAGAAGCACTCACTATGATACATGTGATTATTTTAAGTGGTGTTCTGGAGAGGTTATCTTTGTCTCTCTCTTTATTTGTTTATGTTGGTAATGAAGTACTCATTTCAAGTTCAATGTGATAATGGTTCCTAGTGCATGCTTTTACAAGGACCTGTCTGACAAGATCTTCATTAGCATTTATTCCTCACTGCAGTTTACTGAAGATTGTTGTGGGGTTGTAATACTTTATCCAGTACTTCAGTGACATGTATGCACTGTCTATATGAGACATCAATCAAAATTGGACAATTTTACACTTATTGATTACTATAAACAAAAATGTGCTTTAGTCTTTTTTTATTTTTTTCAGTTAAAGGCTATTTATTTGTAATGAGACAAAACACTAATATCTGTTCAACACTGGGCTAGATGCTGCAATGATTAGGGGAGTGAAGGGAGGGAAGGGCAGGGCAAGGGCTCCAAGCTAGATTATGAATGTCCAAAGCAGAACCTTCTGGGAGAATTTTCCCTGACCACATGGAGCAGAAATAAAAATCACATGATCACCGTTGATTGAAAGGAGAGAGGACACAGGGCTGGGACCTTGGCCCAGTCACCATGGCATGGAACAATGCTGGCCAGCATTGTTGAGGGAGGCGGACACTTCTTGCTGGGCCTGTGTTCCTTGTAAGGACCCTTCCTCTCTGTGAGGCCAAGTGAAGGCTTTGAGATGTCTCCAGTTCCCTGAAAGCCATGAGCCAGAAGATACTGAGGAAGGGAAGCACTCAGTCACTGAGGCCCACCTGCTGAACTGTTCCTTCCTCCTCCTCATGCTGGTAAAGCAAGGGGCCTTGAGGACCCTCTATGACGGCTCTTCTGACACTGCAGTAGTGCTGAGTGGGACTGGCAGCAAGTAGTTTGGGCATACAGTGTGACAGGATGCTGGATTCTTGACACATGCATGCTGCAAGCATGACTCATAGTGCTGATGCAGCCTCTGCCTGAGGCTGAGGGGTATCAAGCCACTGACTGCCCACTGCCCCAGGGGCTCATGGCAGTAGTGATGCCTGATGTGGAGCTCAGCCTCCTCATGTCTGCATCTGGCCAGGCTTTGGAGCTTCAGCTTACTGAAGGACGCGCAAAGGAGAACCCCAGGTGCCTCGCAAGTGCTTCTCCTCAGTCCAGCTCTTAGGGCAAGTTAGCTGTGTGGAGAATACCATGATCTGATGGGCCCTACAATCCCTCTAGAGAATAAGAAGCACACGGCAGGAGGTCACTAGGGAGCCGGGAACTGTTCCACTGTCTATCTGCCCCAGGCCAAGTGCTGGAGCTCTGTGCTCCAGAGTCAGCCTCCTGTGGAAGAGTGGAGGTTGCTCCCACCCTCTAGGCTTCTTCAGACAGGTCCTGGACAAAGGCATGACATTCCCTTTATTGCACCCCCTTGTTCTGAGGCTCCTGTGCCTTCAGAGTTAAGGGTGTCCATGTCACATTTTTCCTTCACAGCGCAAAGTTCAGTTCATTTTGAAGGAAGAAGCTGAAGGACCAGACAGAGGAGCAGAGAGGTCCAGAGAGGGAAGCCCCTTCCTAGTGAAAACAGCAACACCTGCTGTATGATGGTGAGAGTGAGTGGAGGGAGAAGTTTCCAGAAGCAGGAAGGAGAACCAGGGATCCTGTGGGGAGACAGGGTGCATGCTCTGCTCCTGAACCCACGTAGCACCAGACCTGCAGCTGGGGCAGGCTGAAGGGCCAGCAGGTAGCCGCCAGCTCCTTGAAGAGAACAGCAGAGGTCAGACAGACAGGAAGGTGGGTTCCACAGGGTGCTGTGGGAGGTGGCTTGGTGGAGGCTACCCAGCTGGCATCACATGGTGCGGCTGTACTCGATGCCACCCTTGGAGGAGATACTGGACCACTGCAGGAAACTGCAGAGCAGGCTGTGGGCCTGGCGGTAGATCCTGTGCGGGATGGAGCAGGGGCTCATGTTGGCTAGTGCTGAGCCCAGGTGTTGGATGTAGTCCAAGATGGTCCAGGGAGTGTGACCGCCACTGATGTAGAGGACATAGATGAAGCCATCTTTAAGGACCCCTCAGATGGAGTAGTAATAAGGCAGATAATGATGCTGCCTAAAGTCTCTGTTTTCATAGAAGTTTATCGCTGTGTTGTTGGTGGTGAAGACATGCAGGTAGATGGCTTTACAGTGGTCCTGAGCGGTGGTTGACATGTGATCCTTTAAACTGTCAAGTAAAAGAGAACCTATGCCGTGCTTTCGGAATTCTTTCACTACTCCCAAACTTAGAATGTACGCAACTTGTTCGTCAACAGAGAAGCTGAGGCCAGGATATCTCCATCCTCCTTATGTATTTTGGTCCTGCTCTTAATTTCAGCTACTATCATTCCCACAATGGCACCTCTGTAGGTTGCAGCAAGGGAGAAGAACTTCTTGTTGGACGTAATATCACGATACCATGAGTCTGGGTACTCACTGGGGAACCGGTCACTGCACAGGTGCTTCACAGTGTCTATGTCATCGTGACAGAGGAGGCGTAGGCTGACCTCGCTGAGGGCGCTCGAAGGCACCACCTCTGTCATTCACACCTCGGGCGGGAGCCGGGGCCAGATGAGGGCGTCGCGGGGCTCAGTGCATCCTGGGACGCAGGGAGCCGGGATACTGGACCGCGTGGGTCCCGCAACGAGTTATGTAACCGGCGGGGGCCCGCAGCCTGGACGGAGGCGGTGGCCCCTGCTTTAGTCTTTAAAATTCTTTAATACAAGTCTCCTATCAAACTTTTCATGTGCTCCCTCTCTTTCCCAGTACAATAGTTTTACTACAATAGCTTTCATGAAAACCACTGGAGGAATTCAACTGGCTACAAAAAATGATATGACAATAGCAAATACAATTGATCGCATACATTTATAACTTTTTGATAAGTAACACTGAGCACTTCCTGTCTTCAAGCCATTGCTTATGAATTGTCTTATTTCTCCAAATCCCCTTTGCAGAGATTCTTAGTATTTTAATAACACTTTCACAGATAAAAAAAGTTAATATAAAGAGACCACATTTAGAGTGTGATGAAATGGAGAAAAGATTCAAGCAGAAATGAATGATTTTCCAAACCAGAATCCTGAGCCCCTGATATAAACACATGGCAAATGATTAGAAAGCTACCAAGAACCTAAGCAACTTTACTTCCTTATCTCTCATCTGTATATCTCTTTAGGGTTCTATTCCTCTTTTCATATTAATTTTTTTCTATAAAACAAGTTTGCCTTTTCTCTAATTCCCAACAATGAATAAAGTTATTCTTAAAGGATGTTTCTGATATTACAGTCCATTGTCCAGACTGATTCAGTCATTCACTCTGTTTTATCACCATACACTCACAGGGGTAAGGTCTGCTTGGTCTATTAGTACATCTATGCTCCCAGGACAATAAACTACAGTGACTCTACACATTTGTGACTATAGGTGTTTGGGTGAAGGGGGCAAACTGAAATAACAAAGCTATGAGAACCCACCCCTGCTCAAAGTGTTGATATTACGATATTAGACTACCATTTAGAATTTCAAAAACGTTTAGATATGCCTAGAAAAGAATAGAATAATAATAATTACAATGTTACACCCACTAAAACTTATTTTGTTTATAGTGAAAATGATTTATATGTGATAAAATGAAAAAATCTGAAGTGGGCTTTTTTTAATGAGTTTTGATAGCAGGATATACTAATATATCCAAATCCCAAGCAATGATATCAACAAGACTTTTAATTCTTCCTTGTCTAATCATATTCTTCTCAGTTCCCAAGTAGAACATTCTCTGCTGTTACCAATCTCCCTGTTTTAATACTTCATTTAAATGGAACCATATATTATGCATTTCTATGTCTTTTTTCTCTTGTTCAACATACCATTTTTGAGATTCAATCCCTTTTTGACATTTATGAAGAGTTCAATTACTTTTACTGTAGAGTATTAATCTACTATATGAATAGTACGCAAATTGCTTATCCATGTATTGTTTGTAAACTTTTAGGTTTGCTCCAGGATTTATGTATTATTACTAAAACTGCCATTAACATTCTGTGTAATTCTCTTTATGGGCACAGGTTTTCACTGCACTTTGAATAACTGCAACCTGGGAGCAATGGAGGAGAAAAGAGAAAAGTTTTCAGCTAAGAAAGATCTTGGGAAATAATTATTTTAAAACTGTAATAAAATGTCTCATCGTCTAGTTATTTCTAGACCCCTAAAAATGTTCAAAATACAAGATGAGGCAAGGTGCATGTGGCTCACACCTGTAATCCTAGCAACTCAGGAGGCAGAGATCAAGAGGATTGCAGTTCAAAGCCAGCCAGGGCAAATAGTTCTCAAGACCCTATCTGGAAATCACTCTTCACAAAAAAGAACTAGTGGAGTGGCTCAAGGTGAAGGCCCTGAGTTCAAGCCCCAGTACGGCTATATTTATTTATTTATTCATATGCTGAAAAAGTATATGTAGAGTTGGATGGTGTTTCTGCCTATGTGCAAATTAGGCTAGTTACCTTTATTGTATTCTTGAAAATCTAATATTCTCAAAGGAGAGGATTAGGTTAAAACACTTTTGCTTAGTATTTTAAAACAGGTAATTTCTCTAATGTAAATCATGCATTTTATAGGCAAGTAAATTGAGACATAAATGTAGTTAAAGTATATCAACAATATTGAGAGGAAATTGTTACTTCTATCAATGAATGAGTTTGGGGAAAAATAGTAATTGACATACACAACTAATTTATATAAGATTTTACATAGATAATACATTTAGCAATGTTCAAAATTTTTTTTCCATAAGGAAATGTAGTGTTTTTTAAATAAAGAGAGATATTCTCTATCAATAATTAATGCAATCTAATTTCTTATGGATTGCCCAAAATTAACCTTAAAGAACACATTTTATGAGTTTCACATAATCTGCTTATGTGCAATTACTCAAGGAACTTTTCACCCATCAGTTCAGTGTGCATATACAAACATCTGCTTGTGACTCTTATTAAGGAGAGAATCAAAGGTGTTACCGAATAACCCTGTGAGTCATCGAAATAAAAATTGACGTCTGTGAAGGTGCTGAACCATGATTTACTAAACTCCAAGTTTTTATTTTTTCTCCCAGTACCAAACTGTAAAGAATGTTATTTAACAAAGTGACTTTCTTCTGTGTGACTGTCCTTTCAACATGTTCTGGTAATGTGGCTTTGCAGCAGGGCCTTTGCCACTGACTCCAACTACAGCAGCAAAGAGCTCTGAAAAGTGCAATTGTTCTGCAAGAGCCCTCTGTGGGAAGTGGAAATGAACAATGTGTTGAAATGTAAATTTCCCTTAGATTCTTACAAATCCTGCTCTACAGGATTTCACTTTTCAAAGGAGTCTTCTATATTTACTACTTCACTTGTTAAATTGTAACTCCCTGGGCCAAGATTTGTCAAATGATCAGAGAACTGTCACCACAGGGCTAATTCAGGCATGTCCCCACCCTTGTTACATGGTACTTCTTTCAACCTAACACTAAAAGAATGTATTTGGAAAGTGATGTGAAAATAAATGTTCATTTTAAAATATTTCTCATGTCTTATTGTTTTTAATACTACATATTATTATTATTATTATATTGTACTGGGAGTACACTGTGATACTTCACAAAAATTCTTATAATGTATCATAGTTGAATTCATCTTCACCATCATTCTCCTTTTTCCCTCCTTCCCCCATCCCTGGAATAGTTTCAACTGGTCTCATCTTTTTCATTTTCATACATAGGTACATAATATTTCTACCATATTCACCCTCCTACACCCTTTTCTCCTCCTCCCAGTCGTACCAACCCCCAGATGGAACCTGTTTCACCTTCCCGTTCTCTATTTTGGAAAAAAAAAAAAAGACATTTTTGTTTGTTTAAGATAGCTATTCAGGGTGTTTCCTTGTGACATTTTCATGTATACATATGTGTTATAATCCAAAGGGGCTCATCCCCTCTATTTTTCTCCTTTCTATCTTTGTCCACTTCTTATGGTGATTTCAACAGGTTTAAAAATTCTGAATTAATTCTTGTATATGTTAAAAAATTTATAACCAGTGACACTCATAAGGCAGGTGGAAATCAGGGACATATTCCATTCCATGCATGCACCATTGTAACACGTTTATAAAGACAAATTAAAAGGAACACATCAAGCAATGTTCAATTTGAAAACAATTTCAAAGGCAAATGCTTTCAAGCTATTTTAATTTTTATCCACATCATTGATGTAGGTGTTAGGATTTGTATAAACCTTAGAAATATTTCCTTTTTGAGCATCAGATGCTATATACAATTTTACCCCTACTAAGTATACTCACCATATCACATGCATATTCACTGCAGTTTATGTTAGTGGATTTTTAATTATGTTTTTTAAGAACCCTGAAGGATACATTGAACTGCATGGGAATCTTCTGTGGATAAAAGGAAGGAGGATTTTCTGCTCTTTCAGTATGACTCCCACCTATCCACCAGAATGACTGGTTGATCTGCTTTGCTCTGATTCATCAACAGCATTTACACATAAAAGAGAATTCTAAGGATACATAAATTTGTCCTACACACACATATAATATAAACACCTCTTGTTATCTGATATCCCAACTACAGTATGTGATGCAATCAGTCATTCTGATGATTCATTATAAACCTAGGAAGGTCTCTACTTTTAGGAAATATATTTCTGTTTATATTTACATATTATATCTGTGTGTTTATAAATGTAGAGATAATGCATAAATTGGTACTAGAATTTGTATGAAGCTGAGAGCCATTTCTTTTTGAGCACAGATGCTGTATATAATTTTATTCCCTACTGTACATACTCACCATAAAGTACGTATATTCACTCCAGCTTAGATAAGTAGGTTTAAATTATTAATTATATACCTACCATTATTTTTTGTTATAATGAATAGGCTCCTATTGTGACTTATTGGTGCCTGCTACACAGAAAAGAAATAACAAAGCACACTGAGAAGCAGGCTTAATCTGATTTATAGGAAGAAATATAATTTTTGACACTGTGCTATACATAGACTATAGGATGTCAATCAAAGATGCATAGACAACCAATATCAAACTATGTCAACAGCATAGGCAGAAATGACAGTGGCTTCAATAGTGCAGTAATATTGAGAGTGATGAACAAATATTTAGGCTGTACATATACTTTGAAGGAAATATTGATTATATTTCCAAAAAATTAAATATGGGATGTGTTTGCATTGGAAATGCTGGTCAGTAAAATTGTACAGTGCGTATATTCAACATGGAACAAACATGACAGTTACAGGATGGAGGATGAGTAACATAATAGAGCTAATAATGTCTCAGTGGATGATGGTAACATTAGCTGAGATTGTGGAAACTTAGAAAACAGTTTTTATATATTTGCTTGTTTTGCAATGTTTGGGATTGAAAACAGGACCTTGTACATGCTAGACACACACCGTATCCCCAAGTGAAACCCATGCAAGGAAAGCAGTTTAAAGGGGGAATTTGTTTACAGGAAATCATTACCTACAAATATTAG